TTCGTCGGAACGAAGTTACGGAAAATCAATTAACAAACGGAGACGTAACAATATGATTGATGTAAAATAATGAAGAATACATAACTCAACAGTAAAAACTATTAAAAATAACTTGCTATTATACGATTGATGTAAAATAATGAAGAATACATAACTCAAAAGTAAAAACTGTAAAAAATAACATGCTATTATATAATGAGAAAAATTAGGTTTAAAAAAGTTAACAACAAGGATGAAACTTTGTGGTATTCAGGTTCAGTGATCTTCGGTAGATAAGTTTAAAAAAGATCAGCGAAACTCAGATTCTAAAAACGTGCAAAGAATAAATACTTGAACATGGACAACAAGGGAAAAAAACACGCACAAGTGAACAAATATATATATAGGTGAGTTCTACTCGCTGGCCGCTTACTATTTTGTCTCTTACTGGTTTCCTGGGGTGAGGGGAGTCTTTTCTAAGACATCCACGCAAGATAGAAAAAAAAATCATCTGCACCGGACAAATATAAGAAGAATTCTAATTTACCTCCAAAATTCAGACAGATCGTTAAAAGTGTGGTATATCAGCATCCAGTATTGCGTATTGATTATTCTATATAACATTTACAGGGGAGAAAAATCCCTAACTCGTATCAATTTATATAATCCTTTTTGTTACCATTTGAGATTAGCTCGCCCTCCCTAGGGAGTACCGATACAGAGCCAAAGTGATACAAATTTCTAGCCATTGCTGTGTACACTCTTTACCTAAGTAAGAAGGATTATTACATGTTTATGACCCTTCGACATTCAGGTTAGGAATCTAACCAAGAACACCTTAAGTGTGAAAAATAGGTGCGGGCAAAAAAGGATTGAGCGTGCGACTTAATTTCGATTTCATTCCTTTAAGTCACACACTCAGTACTTTTTTTTTTGGCCGCACCTTTTTTCACACCTTAGATGTATTTTATTAGATATCATGACTTTTTGTCCATGCACACCAACAAACTACAGCAAGTAAAAAAATGACACTTGATAGTAACTTTAATAGCCTTAGGATCGTAACCCTATTATACGGCGCAGATCTATATAGAACTAACCAGGTTCTTTAAAATATATGGTGGTAGTTTTCCTCCCTAAAAACAGTGTTAATAACTTTATTTATAGTAACGCCATGCAAAATTGATTAAAAGCTATTTGTCATCACCCGAATACTTCGGTACAGCCGTATCAAGCATCATTATTTACGCTACTTGTTGAAGCTAAAATCACGTGACGCTAAACACTCTTTAATTGGGAGAATTTCATAAAATTTAGCATATTTATGCTTAAAAGTTGACAATGAATATTATCTGTCTACTCTTATAATTCTTTCCAAAACTTAAGCTAGAAACTGCTAATCTGGTTTTATTGGCCTAATAATTGCTTATGTATCTGCACGTTCTTTCACCCTATAGTTTGCTGCTCTAAATCAGCCGTCTTTTATCCAAATGACAAAAAAAAAAAAAAAACGGTTACTCTTAGATGAAGCTACAGTAAAAATTTCAGACTGATAACTTGCATGACTTTTTTGCGTAGGCGTGTGCAAAAATTTTGGTCAAAACTG